TTAATATCCACAATGAAGGAATAGAGAATAGAGGAAGAGTCAAGTACACTGACTAACCTACATCATTTGATCAGTTGGGTCGGTATTTCGGCGTCGTTTGATCACCCTACTCAAACTAACCATAAGTTCATTGTGACTAACGGATAGACCCACTCCTCACTCTCGCTCTATTCAAGTAGTCTCCAACTAAAAAATTCTCCATCTACATCTTGATCCGCTGTTATTACTAACGATTCCAACTTCATGTTCCCAATGAGATTCCTAGAATATTTGTCTAAAAATGGTCGAAAATTTCCTACATAAGATCTTAGAGGTCCTATGATTGAGTTTGAGAATTTCCGGATTTAAAGATCAAGCAAGATCAGTTGTCATGCTACAATGTTTTGTTGATTTATGTCCAATATTTTTCACTCTTTTCTCATTATTGATATATTTTCTTACTCGTATATAAACGAAGAGAAAAACATTAATGAAGGAAACCCAAATAGAGCAGCGGAAACACCAAAAGAATCATACCTTTGAGTAAAACAATGCATATTACCCTCGACTTTGGCCAACAGATAAAGGCACTCGTTCCCTTCTCCAATTGATGTGGAACCTCCAATCCACCCCTTTTTGGCACCCAGCATCCTTGCTGGCACACTGCCTCGTGTCCACCCCCTTCGAGACTCAGCCTCCTCGCTAGCACATCGTCTAATGTCTGGTTCTGATACCATTTGTAACAATCCAAGCCCCCATTAGCAGATATTGTCCTATTTAGGTTTTCCCTTTCGGGCTTCCTCTCAATATTTTTAAAACGCGTCTATTAGGGAGAGTTTTCCACACCCTTATAAAGAATGTTTCGTTCTCCTCCCCAACTGATGTGGGATATCACACTCAACATCCCTATTACCATGACCATAAGGTTTTAGCAACTGGGTCATTGACGGAGCACTCCAAAAGGGGAAGTAAGACGGGACCTCACCCTTACTTTCACTAGGACTGTTTCCAAGGTGCATAAACACAGGGGTTGCACACATTCTAGAGGTGAATGAACATGAGAGGCATAGTCATAGATGAAGAGATGTATATATATAAAGAGCCAGTCAAATTGAGCTATAGAATTTACATTCGCCAATAGATGCTCCAAAGTTACATAAATTGTATTACGGTTAGGATGGGAGGCTCACAACTTCTTTGTTTGACATTTGAGGATTCTATTGACATGGCTAAGTTAAGGGCATGACTATGATATCATGTTAGGAACCACAACTCTCCGCAGTATAGCATAAGCTCTCATGGCTTTACTTTAGGGTTCCCCAAAAGACCTCATGTCAATGGAGATGTATTCCTTGCTTATAAACCCATGATCATTCTCTAAATTAGCCAAGGTGGGACTCTCTCCCAACCATAAAAAAGGTACACGCTGAATGAGCACAAATACTCAACAAAGCAGTAGTAATGCATCCGTGGTGCCAGATTGAGAGGTTCACTATACTGTCCTAATTTGGAGTATCCAGAAATCATGATATTCCATGAGACAACACTTCTTGCTGGCATTTCATTGAACAGAGTTCCTATCTTCCACTTTCTTCCTTTTTCTTAAGCTTCTCCAATATTGTTTCAAATACGAGTGGATGCTTGTGGGTTAATTGTTGAGGATTATTGAGAGTGAGTCCCACCTTGATTAATTTAGTGGAAGATCATGGATTTATAAGTGAGGAATACTATCTTCACTGGTATGAGGCATTTTGGGGAAGCCCAAAGCAAAGCCACGAGAGCTTATGCTCAAAGTAGATAATATCGTACCATTGTGGAGACCAATTGAGAAGAGATTTACAAACACTTGGTAGAAACTACTACTTTGTATGAATTCCTAAAATCCTTTCCTTCGAATTTTCTGCTCAGCGAATCGCAAATTGGTTGTTGCAATGAAATGGTATTGGATACTCAATTTTCTGGTGTCAATCTTCCATCAAAAGTTTTAACCATGTATTTTCCTGCTCCAGCTACTGCTCTGTACTTTGCTTCTCTAGTTGACAATGATACTGTTGGTTGTCTTTTGTTACACCAAAAAATTGTTCTCGAATCGAGCTTGAACACATACCCAGTAATTGATCTTCGGGTATCGTGGTCTCGTTTGACATGATATTGTTGGTTGTCTTTTGTTACACCAAAAAATTGTTGTCAAATCGAGCTTGAACACATACTCAGTGATTGATCTTCGAGTATCGTGGTCTCCTTTGATATATCTCAAGATCCGTTGAGCTGCATCCAAATGAGGCTTCTTCAGACTTTGCATATATTGACTAATAACTCCAACTTCATTTTCGAATTTCTTCGGTTGATCCATGTAGAACTCTCTGTATAACTCACCATTCAGGAAAGCATTCTTCATATCCATTTGCCATAATTTCCACTCTTTATTTACCACAAGTACGGGAGGAACCTGTATGATAGTTATCTTCGCCACTGGACAAAACGTTTCATTGTAGTTTAGTCCATATTCTTGAGAGAACCCTCGAGCTACATATTGAGTCTTGTATCTTTCGATTGATCCATCCGAGAGACACATTATTTTGTAAGCCCACTTGCAAGAGATGAGTTTGGTATCTCTTGGTCTTGGCACTAATTTCCAAGCTTGATTTTGTTCCAAGGCTATAATTTCTTTCTCCATCGCTTTTTGCCAAGCTGAGATTTGTGATGTTTTTTCATGTCTCCGGCTCATTAACTTCGTTTTTTATAGTAACTATATCGACATACTTTGAATTTGGCTTCTGGATTCTTTCTGACCGTCTAATTCGTTGAGGTGTCATTTCCTTTTCACTAGATTTGCTTGGTTGAGTTATTTCTTGCTCACCAACACTAGTGTCACTTATCTTAAAGCACATCAGCACTTAAGCAAATGTGTGCAGTTTGCTCTCTCGTCTTCTGTGAAATTTCTTCAATTTGCTCTCCCATCTTCTGTGGAAGAATTTTTTCAATTTTCTCTCCCGTCAGAAGAATTTCTTCAATTTGCTCAAGGTCTAGTAATACTTCCTTCTCTGAGGGCTACCTCACTTCTATTGCACCACTTTGATCGTCAATCATGTGGTTTAAGCATCTTGAGTCAATAATCCAATCATTCTCATAATTGATATGGTCTCCCATCATCGCCATGAGTGCTTGCTCATCTTCTTTTATGGCATACAGTACCTCTGCATCTCATTCCTTCTCCATCTCCATGTTGGAGGATGTCACATTGCTTTCGACAGATCTTTTCTTGGACCAACAATCCCTAGACATGTGGTCATTCTTCCCACAATTATAGCAAATGCCCTCAAATCTTTTCCTTTTAGAACTTTGGGTGTCAATCTTTTGAGTTCTCCCAAGTACAGTTCCTTGGCGACTTCTTTTGTCACCATTGTATCCATATTTGGTAGAAGACCTATTATTGCTCCGACTTTCACTTGTGTAGAGATCTTCACCCTTCAATGTGATGTCTCCTATTTGTTTAGCCCTTCTTGGTTGGCTAACAAATTTTCGAACTCTACAAGTGATGGTTGAGTGGGCCATCCTTGTACAGCAATAATAAAGCTTTTATATTCTGGTCGCAATCCGTGGATTATAATTCTCTTCATTCGAGATTTTACAATGGCGGACTTCGGGTCTAATTCAGTAATCTCCCAATAGATCGACTTGACCTTGTGGAAGTTCTGAGCAATCATCATGTCACATTGTGAAATTGACAACAACTTATTCTCCAGAAGTTGTAGCCTCTTATCGTTTTCTTTGAGAACAACATCACAAACGTGTCTCATGCTTCTTTCAGTGTCTTGTCATCCCAAATATGCTCTAACATCTCTTCTCCGACTGTGGTCTTCAAGGCAAACATTGCTTTGCCTGCTTTGATTCTCCATTCGTGCAAGGCGTCGTTAGAATCATCCTCCAGCGACATAGTTTCGCACCCGCCAACTATCTCCCAAAGATCATGTCCTTGTAAATAGAACATTATGCATGTTGCCCACGTGTTGTAGTTGTTGTTGAGTTTCTTGATTCCTCCAACGATTTAGAAATCACCTATCGTGTTGACTATACCTCATTAATACCAAACAAGCTCTTTCGACACAAGACTTGCAGAGTCACAGACTACTCATGACACAAATGAAACTCACACACTAATAATCTCAAGAAATCGTTTCTGATGTGGAAGATCAGATAGAGCTGTAACCACAGAGCATAGTAAGAATTCCAAGAGATCAGATAACCTACGCTAACTTGCTCTGATACCAAATTGTTGAACACAACTCTCTGTGGGAAACACTCGCATACTTTAGTAAGACCAATAGAGATTTACAAAACACTCGTTAGAAACTAATAGTTTATATTGCTTGGAATTTCTTGGGATGATGAAGTAAGTAGGATGGAGGGTATTTATACGTATACTAATCAATCTATTCCTAAAATTTCTTAAGGTTTTTTTCTAAATTATTTAAATCATTTACTGACTTTATTTCTAAAATCCTAAATCATTTTCTTAAGTCGATCATACAATAGTTGGGCTTAACCCTATTAGGCTAGTGATGATATTTTAACGTAACTTGCATGGAGGTCAACGCTTTCGACAACATTCACCTTCAAAAACGACGTCCCCAATGCTCAAGCATACAAAAGGCTCTATGTGGACCCGACTCAAAAAGCTTTAAAAAATTCCGCCCAACCCTACTAACATCAAAATTATTCACTTGGATCATCTAGATATTTTTGTCAATCAGTATAAACCCTATAAATTTACTAAAGGCCTACTTAATCAAGGCCTACGTGGCCTCTTGAATAAATTAACTCAAGTATTAGTTAATTTATAAAATTTATTGTATTTTTCTTTTTTAATTTAGGGTTTTAAGTTTATAGTTAAATTTAATGAAATTAAAAATTACAGTCTAATAATAATTATTATTATTTTATTATTATTTTTGAAGCTCTCCCACTGCTTGGCATATCCAAAGTCCAAATGGCATATAAAAATAAAAGAAAATATTTATTTCAATCGTTTTAGAAGAATCCCATCGAAAACTTCCCCCTTCCCAGGTCTCTGTGAAACCCTAACTTCCATAGCCTCATCAATTCCTTGCTTTCCCGAGGGTTTATCCTTCATAACCTCAGGTATTCCATTTCGCAATCCCCATCTCATTGTGTGTATCGTGTTTTCTGTTCCTCGTTTTTTTAGGTATTTCGACTTGGAATGCCGTTTGTTTCCCTCTCGATTCTCGCTTTGGGGTTTTCGACCTGCGTGCCTGTTTTCTCGATGATTGTTTTTGTGTCTGTTTTGATTTTTCGTTATTGATTGTGTTCGATTGTTTATTGTGTGGTTGCGTGTTTAAGAAATTTGGTTGTAATTATGTGGACGATGAATGTCATTGCGATGTTGCTTGTATCGTTGGATTGATTTCTCTGGTGATAATGGGTTGTGAACTGCTCTAATTATTTGTACGGGATTATCTTAATGGTGATATTGGTTTTACTGCTGTTGTTTGGTGGATTGATTTGTGCTTTGGAATGACGTTGATTGGACCTGCTTTGGTGAAATTCTTTGGTCCATTTGTTAATATTTTCAACTTTACGTGCTTACCCCAAAGGTTAGGAGATGAAAAGAAGTAGAAGAAGAAAAACCCAGAGAAATGAAATGCAAACTCTAGCCAAACAACTTCCAATAAGGAACCTCTTTACGAAAATCTATTCCATCATTGTAATGCATACCTTTTTGTTCTCGAATAGAAGATGCTAAAATGTGCAATTTTGTGCTATGGTTGAAGGCAGTTAACTTAGAGAAGAAGAAGCTTATTCATTAATAAGCGTGGTTGTATTTTATGCATCCACAGATTCTTTTCTTCCACGTCAATTAATGACAATGAAATATTGTTCAAATCAATGCAGAATTAAGGATTTAGTGGTACAATTTTTGATGGTGGCAGGGAATTATAAGTTTATGAATGTGGAGTGCTGTGTTTAACTTCATGTACTAAATTTGAAGTTTTAATGGTATTAAGGCTGCCCATAATTTTGTAGCATTCTCCTGTAACTTGGCAAAATGGCATCAGTTTCTAGTCAGCCACAGTTCCGTTATACCCAGCCACCGTCAAAGGTTCTCCACTTGAGGAATTTACCTTGGGAATGCACTGAGGAGGAACTGATTGAACTGGGGAAGCCATTTGGAAAAGTTGTGAACACAAAGTGTAATGTTGGAGCAAACAGAAATCAAGCTTTTATTGAGTTTGTAAGTGCAGGATTTTTGCGTACATTGTTTTCCATCTTCAATGGACCTCACTGGCTAGTCATTATTGATAAATATTTGACTAAGGTTAATGTTACAGGCAGACATAAATCAAGCTATTGCGATGATATCATATTATGCATCATCCTCGGAGCCTGCTCAAGTTAGAGGAAAAACTGTTTATCTGCAGTATTCCAACCGGCAAGAAATTGTGAACAACAAAACTACTGCTGATGTTCCTGGAAATGTGCTTTTAGTAACAATTGAAGGCACTGATGCACGCCTTGTCAGCATTGATGTTTTGCACTTGGTAAGCAGATTGTTATGCGTTCTTGTTGCAGTTAAAGGTGAACCTCTGTGGCACTAAGTTAAATTATGGTGATTAGGTTATAGTTTGTCATGTTTCAAAAGCTTTTGTTTGACACGAATGTAAATGAATCAGCAGGCCCTTGTCAAGGCAATATCTTTGATGGCAGCTTAGTGCATCGGGAGAAAGAGCACATGTGTGTTTGTCTCCTTTCTCCTTTCCTTAACACTACCTCTCTCTTCCCTTCTCTTCCTCCTCAACTTCCTCCTACCTTTCACAGTTTAGGATATTATCTTTTCTGCTCTCATGTGCATCCTTCTCCCTATCTCTCTGCATGTGTGTCAGTGATACTGCGGTCTACATCCAGTCATTAGATTCAGAGTATAGAAATTTTTTATTCTAAATTTTTGGATTATCTGTTTTCAGTATACAAGTATTCTGCCCTAATGGACAAACATTTGAAAATTTAGACGGAAGATTAATAAGATGACATTCCTTATGGCTCAGCATCTGATCTTTTTGGGGTGTCTTTGCCTGATCTTTTTAAAATTTGTAGGTTGAATTTTAAATTTCTAAAGGCCTTCAACTATTAATTTACAGCTTGTTTCATTGATGATTATTTTGAGTATTGATTATACCCATAGGTGGTTATTAATTTCAAACAAATAGTTGCTCTTTCCACAACTGAGAGAGTCGGGTGTTATATACTTGTTTTGGATTTGTGTTTTTGCTTCATCGTACCTTCTCTTTGAGAGGAGTTGAGATGTACGTCTTAACGATTGATTGCCATATACTTATTGTGTTTTAATCTGAAAGCTTGTATCTTTGTTGTCTAATATCCTCCATATTTCTCCATTTACTCTTGTTCCTGGCTGTAGCGTTGCAATTGCAACAATAAACTTTTGTAGTCTTAACTTACAGTTTTTTGTTACAGAATTTGCACTTAAATGTTCGTGTTAGTTTCCATTTAGACATCCTACTTGGTCTATATTTGGAGATTGAGGTTTTTTTCCTTTGGTTATGATTGTAATAATTCACATGATAGTAGTCATCTAATAGCTGTTGTGATATCCTGAAAATGTGATGAATGGTGTGATATCATTTTGTTGAATTGTATCCTAAAGGTTATCCAATAATATGCTAGGTCTTTTCAGCCTTTGGGTTCGTGCATAAAATTACTACCTTTGAGAAAACAGCTGGATTTCAGGTCCGTGAATATTTATAATTTTAGTAGTAGTTTCACTATTATTACTTCTGAGCTTTGAGGAAATCTTATTCAGCTAATGATGTGAACTTTTTAGGCATTGGTGCAATTTTCAGATGCAGAGACTGCCTCGTCTGCTAAAAATGCCTTAGATGGGAGAAGCATCCCTAGGTGACAATTGTATTGAATGTTTCACATGGTTTTTTGCCTCTCTTTTATGGAGTATATAGCCGTAGAAGAGGTGCACATGCACTATCTTGGTGTCCGTCTATGAATGTTTTTGTAGTCAGTAATCGAAGTGTCGTAAAATATTGACTTGAAAAATTTCATTCCATTGCCTGTAGTATTCATCCTTTTTTGAAAAGAACTGAGTTTTGGATACTTGCATGTCATTATGCTATTTTTACATGTATCATCAATTATTTCTTGTTTTCAGGTATCTGCTTCCTGATCACGTTGGACCATGTTCCCTTAGAATTACTTACTCTGCCCACACTGATTTGACTGTGAAATTTCAGAGCCATCGAAGCAGGTTTTCTTGACTTTCTGCATCTAATCTTCTATGAATGTGTTTATTTTGACTATTGTTTAATATTTCACTTTCTGTAACTTTAGTGTCTGTTTTATCACTATCTCTTTCTCTCTCTACTTCCTGATAGTATGTTGATTCAGGGACTACACTAATCCTTATCTGCCTGTTGCTCCATCGGCCATAGATGGAAGTGGTCAGGTAAGGAATGCATTAGGTGGCATGTTGTTAAGTTGTGCCTATAAATTTTCTTCTTTCCATGCACTACGTGCATGCGATAAAGAAAATGGTTCAAATGTTGTCCCAAAAAAAAAAAAAAAAAAAAAAGTAGATAAAGCTTCAAACTGTTTACTTTTCACAAAAGTGCTGGCATACCATTACAAATCTTGGCCTTTCTTCTTTTCCTATATTATTTTTCTATATCTGTTTCCTCCTTTGAATGAATTTGTCGTCAGTCACCTTTGCAGTTCACCGTGGGTTTGGATGGAAAGAAGATTGAACCAGAGAGTAATGTTCTTCTTGCCTCCATTGAGAACATGCAGTATGCAGTGACGTTGGAGGTTTTGCACATGGTATTGCATGATATGGAAATTTTATAAAAATTGTCTGTGGACTTCAGAAGCATGTGTGTGTGTGTGTGTGTGTTGAACGACTGCTAATTCGTATCTTATAATTATTTGCAAATTATTTTATTATGGCCATTTATCTTTTTGTTGGTAGGTTTTTTCTTCATTTGGACCTGTCCAAAAGATTGCCATGTTTGATAAGAACGGGGGAGTGCAGGCCTTGATTCAGTATCCAGGTAGTTCATTTTAACTAAACTCGTGCTGACACTAGTCTCACCTGTTGGGTGCAAATGTTAATTGGCAACCACATGTTTGCAGAAATGGTTGAAGCATATTTTCTACCGTTTATTGATTGCAACCGTATCCTTTATAAATTCAAAAGGTGTTTTTTTAGTTTCAAATCTGTGAACGAGTTAAAATCTTAGATAGGGAGAATTTAACGTTGAAGTAAAATATGAGTTGAGTAAAGCAAAGGAAGTCAATATATTTCATATGGTTCAAATTTTCTGTCTTAATCCATATTATTTCAATATAAGTATGTAGCATAGTAATCAGTAATATGCCACGTGTGGACAGATGTTCAGACTGCGGTAGTTGCCAAGGAAGCCCTGGAGGGACACTGTATTTATGATGGAGGATTCTGCAAGCTTCACATCTCATACTCGCGCCATACTGATTTGAGTATCAAGGTAATAAAAACTCCACTTTTGTGGTTAGTTGTCCAAGAGCAACAATAGTCCACTCTTTTGTGTTTTTCTTCATTAATTGGTTATTTGTGTCATTTTTACCAATTGTAATGATCTTTTTATTTATCAATTACTTTACTTTTTTTTAAATACTATTCTTCTTTTCCGGAGTAAAAGAATGTTGACATTGATTCTTCCATCTATCTCTTCTGATGCAATCTGATTATTTTCTATGGATTGAAATATCGATTTTGATGGATATACTGATTCCAATGGATATTTATCAAAATTATTTAAATTAAAATTTAAGTTTAAGTTATAGATTTTGTTATTAGTATTCATATTTATATTGTGATTAATAGACAATATTTGTTTTTAATGTTTTATCTGTATTTATAAAAACATATCAAAGATATTGAATAATCTCTAATATTGATGTTTGACATATTGATGGAGAGTTCAATCCTTGATTATATTAGAAGTTGCATGTTCCTAAATGGCTAGTTTGATGTAATTGTAGGTGAATAATGATAGAAGTCGAGACTATACAATTCCCAATACTCCTTCCATGGTAAATTCTCAACCGCCTGTTGTGGGGCAGCAACCAGGTCAAATGATGGGTCCTTCCACCCATCAATACAACGGAAACCAGTATGGTCCTTCCGCCGAGCAGCCTGGGGTGCAGCCTCAGCCTTCTTCAGGTTGGGGATCTGGTGGTCCAGCTGCGCCTTACTCCATGCCCATGCACAATCCTGCTTACATGTCATCAGGGACAATGCCCCCTCAGATGGCCCCAGGTATGATGCCAAGCCCCAGTGGTTTACACCAGACACCGCCACCGTATCGCCCCCATCACAGGCAATAGCATGTATTGTCTTCTGTTTAATAGTTGAATGTCCATTCAAGAAAACCAAGCTTCTTAACGTACTATGCATGCAATTTGGCAGAGGAAAAATGTGCATTAAATTCGACAGTTTCAGAACAAATTTGGTCAGTTCTTGTTCATTTCTCTTTCATTTTAAGGGATTTGAATGAATGTAAGATCGATTATCCCGAGTGCAAAAAACCAAGCACCTTTCTTCGAAGCTAAGTGAGTTGCGAAACTCGGTTATTATTGATTATTATCTTTGGATACGTGATTATGTTGTCTATTCCTTCTTCTCGACTTACCTGACATTTATAAACTGAACTGTGTTTCAACTGTACTGTGTTTCAGGCTGATGAAAAAGTGTATGGAGGGGGCAATTATAAATCTAAAAACTATGCTTTTGTTTGATATGTATCAGGTCTTGATTCAAGAGATCGTACCTAATGAGCATAGCTGGGGAGCAATTAAATCTGCAGTTGTTTTATTCGTTATATTTACATTTTTTTAAGCTATAATGGAAGTTGTCATTTGACACTTTTGATGAAAAAATCAAATTTACTTGTTAAGTTGTCAAAGCTTTTAATTTTGTTAAATTCCACCTGTTACACTCTTAAACCTAAACTTAAAAGAGGTATTATCATTTTAACTAGAGATATCTACGAGGCGAAAATAAGAATTTTCATCTCTTTATTCTGTTCATTTCTTTTAAATTTTTTATTTATTTTTGCGAGGATTCGAGCAGGATCTTCAGCATGAATTAGCGATTTTCTACCGTCAATTTAAAGAAACTATTTACTGTATAATTTTTATTTTTTAATATAAATTATTAGTTAGGTGTTCGAAATTGGAGTTGAAACATCTTATTATAAATTACTACAAATCAATCTATGTTTGAATTGCAAGAGAAAAAAATTCGAAAATATAATTTTCAAATCTAAGAAAAAGATAAAATAGGGATTGATTTTTCTTCCAATTACTATCAACAATAATAGCTATAAATGCATAAAATCAAAACAATACAAATGACATAAATAAATTAGTCAAACATTTATTATTACAAAATCAACCATCCCTTGGAACCTCGAAGACATACAACCGATTAGAACTTTGAAATGAAATTTTAAAAGTTTCTTTTTTGACGATGCATGGGATCTAAAATCGAAATTTAGAAAATCTCTATTTAAAAATATATTTATATTTATATTTAGTGGGACGGAAAAATATAATCCATTAATTGGATAATTGAAAGTATTGTTTAACCTTTAAATTTTTTTTAAAGTAAACTATTTATGTAAATTAAAATTTATTTCAGGTTTAATTTAATGAAATTATAATTTTGAAGTTAACTTTTTCTATTTTATTTACTTATTTTTTGGTAAAAGGGATTGTTAGAATAAACTATTTGTGTGAATTACTGAAGTAAATGTACAGTTCCTCACACTAGTTTTTATTGATTAAATTTAGATGTAACTAATTATTAATTATTATTAAGCATGAGTTATAATGTCTATTAAAAAACTACCAAAAAGCATTAAAAAATAATTCCTTAAAGTTGATAAAGAATAAAACTAATCTAAAGAAAAGAATAATTTTGTAAAGTTAAAATAACATTTTTTTTTCTACTCTCAATTATTTAATCTTAATTAACTCTCCTACTTTTCATAAAACAAAATTTTAGAGTAATTTTTAATTTTATCCCTAAACTTAAATTTTTTTCCATTTTTACTCCTTAAACTTTAAAATTTATTCTAAAAACGTCCTAATTGAAGTAAATATATATCTTTTAACTAAATAGGACGTTAAAATCGTTAATACTAAAATTTAAATCATCGATATTAATAAAAATATCGATAGAATGTCGATGTCAAAGTACATTTTCTTAAAAAGTTACGAAACAAGCCTTTTTTAAAAAAAGATTTAAATTAATAAATAAATATTTTACGACCTATATTATTTTTATATCAGTAATATACATGTTAGGTGAACACGGTTCTCCACGCTGATATGATATTGTCTACTTTAAGAATAAGCTTTCATGACTTTGTTTTGTACTTACACGGAAGACCTTGTACTAATTGAGAGAGTATTCCTAGATTATAAACCACTTTCATCGTCCAACAATATATATTTTTTATGGTTTAATAATTTGTTTATATCATTTAATTCGTTAAAAATATTTACATAATAATAAAAATATTATAAAAAATGTTGTTAAAATTATTATTATTATTTATTGTAATTTCTCAAAAAAGAAAAAAAAAAAAAGAAGAAGCGTGGATGAATGATTTTACCCACAAACACAGATTCACAGAGGCAGCGTAAAAAAGCCGGCGCCAAGGAGAGGTCTGCAAATCCAAATATTGTTATTTTAGGATAAGGCCGCCTTCTCCCTCGCCCTCGCCCTCTCCTTTTTCCTTTGCTCTCTTTTCACTCTTCATTTTCGAATTTGGAGCTTCAACCATAATGGTCAATCTTCAAGCTTCCTTGTTCTGCAATCCTTCACTCTATCCTCCTCTTTCCCTTCTTTCTGCTTCTTCTTCTTCTTCTTCTTCTTCTTCTTCTTCTTCTTCTTCTTCTTCTTCTTCTTCTTCAAGCCAAAGGGTTCACTTGTCGCTGTCTCTTCCTTGTCCTTCCATTTCTTGCACCCCCTTTTGGGGTTGTGGGTTTCGATTTGGGCGTCGTTCTTCTTCTTCTCTTCCCTGTACATTGCACCCTGAGTATGGGAATTACAATTCAGAATCAATTTCTTCTTCCGGTGGTGGCAATATGGGTTCTGGTCCTCAAGATTTCAATATTGGTGGGTTTGGCGATCAGGGTGCGGATTTTGATGGGAGTAGGATGGAGGGTAGTAGTGAGAGTTCGGAGATTCTGATGAACATTGAGGGTGGGGTGATGGCCACTGATGAAAATGCTGAGACAGTGTTGGATAGTCCTGGAAGTGTGGAATTGGAGGGATTTGAGAGTGGAATTCAGTCTGAGAAAGAGGAGAAGTGGAAGAGGTTGCCGTTTGTGGTGTTCTTGATGGGATTGTGGGCAGCAACGAGAAGGAAATTTCAGAAGGTGATTGAAATTGTAATGGATTGGTATAGTTGGTGGCCGTTTTGGCGGCAGGAGAAGCGTTTGGAGCGGTTAACTGCTGAGGCTGATGCGAATCCGAAGGATGCGGCCAAGCAGAGTGCTCTATTAGCCGAGCTGAATAAGCAGAGGTTAAGTTGCAAACTGGTTTTTGAATTTTGTATTTTGAACTGTGAATAATCATGGTACTCAAGATAGCAATGGCCATGTAGTTTTCCTCTTGCTTCTACTTGAGCTGGTGAATAATTGATTAGTAACAAGCTTTTCTTGCAATGCTTTGTTCAAGTAGTGTTTGTTACACAAATCATGGTGGTCACTTACCTCGGATTTAGAATTTTTGTTCATTTTTCTTTGCTGCTAGGATTTGAAGGTTGTCCTGTGAGATATGTGAGATAAGTCAAAGGTGTACACCGGACACTCACAATTTTGTTTTAGAAAAACAGCAGTATTTGATTTCATGTCGTTAACTGGACAATATTTTCCTGTCTTGTCGAATACAAGATCTATTTTGAAGTTGTACCGCTTGTTTTGCGAGATCCTGCATCGGTTGGGGAGGAGAACGAAACACCCTTTATAAGGGTGTAGAAACCTCTCCCTAGCAGACGCGTTTTAAAAACCTTGAGGGGAAGCCCGAAAGGGAAAGCCCAAAGAGGGCAATATCTACTAGCGGTGGGCTTGGACCGTTACAAATGGTATTAGAGTCAGACATCGGGCGATGTTCCAGCGAGGAGGTTGAGCCTCGAATGGGGGTGGACATGAAGCGATGTGCCAGCAAGGACGCCGGGCTCCGAAGGGGGTAGATTTGGTGGGGTCCCAGATTGATTGGAGAAAGAAACGAGTGTCAGCAAGGACGCTGGGCCTCAAAGGGGGGTGGATTGTGAGATCCCACATCGGTTGGGGAGGAGAATGAAACACTCTTTATAAGGTAATGGAAACCTCTCCCTAGTAGACGCGTTTTAAAAACCTTGAAGGGAAGCCCGAAAGAGAAAGCCCAAAGAAGACAATATCTGCTAGCGGTGGGCCAGTTACATGTTTAGTTCTTACAAAAGACCTACTTTAGGAAAAAAAAAAAATGTTGTTATTCTTTATAAAGTTATGGTTTTCTGAATGGTGATTTCATTTCAATTTATTTGTTTGAAAAGAGTCTTGAACCGTCTATTTAGTTTTCAATAGTAGCACTAACCATAGTGTGTTATCAATCTCTTTTGGTTTTGAATTATCCCCCTTTCCCCTTATGTTTGCTGAGGTTTCAATCATTAATTCTGACATTGCCTTCTTCAAGTAGTGTTATTGTTTGGATTTATTATTTCATATGTTGGTAACTAGACGATACTTACGGTTTCACGTTCTCTGTAACATGTGGAACTATTTCCAGTCCTGAGTCTGTCATTAGGCGTTTTGAGCAAAGGGATCATGCTGTAGACAGTAGAGGAGTAGTGGAGTATCTTCGAGCTCTTGTTGTCACCAACGAAATTTCTGAGTATCTTCCAGATTCTGAAAGTGGAAGGCCATCAACTCTTCCTACATTGGTACTTAAGCTTGACCAATTTCTCTTCCTTGTATAAGAAGATCTCGAATTTGTATGAACACACTTGGATAATTGCTCTTTGGTCTGATCTTAATTCTTATTAATAAATTTGGTTATTCTTGTGGTTGTTCTGATCGATAAAAATGCACAGCTACAAGAGTTGAAGCAGCGTGCTTCAGGAAACGTGGACGAGCCCTTTGTGAACCCTGGCATCTCTGAGAAACAACCATTGCATGTAGTAATGGTAAGTATCATACCATTTCTTGGACTTCCCTCCATCATATCATATTAGTTTTGTTTCTTTATGTGAACTACTATCGTCCTCCTAGTTTTTAATTCGTAACGTTATTTTCTATTGAAGGTTGGCCCTAAAGTACCCAACAAGTCTCGTTTTGTACAAGAACTTATCTCCACTATACTTTTCACTGTTGCTGTTGGATTAGTATGGTATTAGCCTTTACTCCACAATCTCTACCATTGTTCTCCTCCCTCCGCCCTTCTCCCCAGAATCATGCTTGGTTTTGTGTTTTTTTAGTTGCTAATTGTAGTACATGAGAGTCCTCTTGCAGGTTTATGGGTGCTAGCGCACTTCAAAAATACATAGGGAGTTTAGGTGGCATAGGAGCCTCAGGCGTTGGTTCAAGTTCTTCATATGCCCCAAAGGAGTTAAATAAAGAAGTTATGCCAGAGAAGGTAGATACAAAGTATTCCATGTGGTTTCTTTGTCCGATTGTTTGTGAAATAAGTACGTAAATGTCATGAAAAGCCAGGGGTTGTTTGGTATTTGTTTCTAAAATAGGTTTCTGCCTTTTAGATTACAAATTATGTATAGAAGTTGTTTTTGTTTGTTTACTATGTCTTTTCATAAATGACCATTCTTTTATCTAGAAAAAATAATGTTGTTGTTCATTTTAATTACATTAATTTGTGAATAATGGTTTCAACTTACCCATTTGCGTTTAAAAAAAAAAAAAAAACATTTTGAAAACTAAAACCGTGACAACAGTTTTCCGAACAATCTGCTTAGTTTTCTATTATTATTGTTTTTTCCTTTATCTGTAGAGGCATGGGTAGAAAAAGCTTGTTATTCTTCTAGTTTTGATTAGCCTGGGCAGAAATTTAGGATTTTTCATTATTGCTAAAATGTTATGACTCCTAGGCTAGGAGGGAGTTAAGATGAATACTAGTAGGTAGAGAAGTTATCTTTTTCATGCGTAATTTGTAGAGAAGTTATTTTTTTCATGCGTAATTTTTCTTTCTATAGATGGTCTTACATTTTAGTAAGCTCCTATTTTGTGTAGGTAGGTAACAGAAAATAAGTTTACTTTTGATTAGAAACACATGTTTCGAACTTTTCGGATTCCTGTACGTTCAAGCATAATTTTTCGTGGGAGTGTTTTTGTTCTTATTCAGTGATAACCTTTCCCTGTAGAATGTCAAGACATTTAAGGATGTTAAAGGTTGTGATGATGCAAAGCAAGAGCTGGAAGAAGTGGTGGAGTATCTGAAAAACCCTTCCAAGTTTACCCGGCTTGGAGGAAAGTTGCCGAAGGTTTGTGTTTGTCACTCCCTGTCTTGATTTTCATTTGTAGTTGTCTTATTTCTGCTTACTTTGTTGCCCCTTTTCCTTGGCTGGAAGAACTTTAGCTGGCCGATTGTCTTTTGCCTTGCTTTGTGATTAGTTTATGTTGTTTATCTTAGCAACGACTTCGGTATGACGGAATGATTACAAAAAGACCTTGTAATCCAAGTTGATGGTGTCTATAGTGTAATTACAAGACGACTTAAGTTGGGGACTCTAGTTAGAGGTCATAAACTGTAAAGAGAGTTTGGCTTGTCTGAAAAAAATTTCGAGTTCCTTTCCTTCCAAAGAAGGTACAGAATAGCCCTAGCAGGGTTCATCCAAAGCACTCTGGATTTGTCTAACAACCACTGCTCTGGAAGGATTTCAGCCGTCCAATTTTCCATACATTTCGATTTAGACCTCTGCATCCCAAACATCTGGCCAAAGAACTTCCAAACATTTTCAGCAAACTCAAGTGAATGGACAGACTTAACAGAGATCCTTCATTATTATAGCATAGTACTTGTGTACTGAAAAAATTTATCCCTTCAACGATTTTGATGGGGCTAGGTGCGTTTATTACAGGGAGACAAATTCTTGATTAGGCTCTCATTGCTAACGAGACAATCGAAAACTACAAGAGTCGTAAGCAAAGAAAGGGTTATCTTTAAGATTGATTTTGAGAAGGCCTACGATTATGTGGATTAGAACTTCCTTGATAAGGTCCTTTGTATGAAAAACTTCGGGTACAAGCTCCACGGGGATTTGGAGTTGTACTAGATCAGTGAGCAACTCTATTCTCCTTAATGGAAGGCCTAGGGGAAGGTCCATGTAACAAGTGGCCAAACAGGGGATCCTATCTCCCCTCTTTTTGCTTGTTGTGCATATCCTTAGTAGGATTGTCTCTAGAGGAGTTGATGGGAGTGGGTAAGAACAAGGGGCTTCTATCTCATCTCCAATTTTTCAATGACACTATCTTCTTCTACTCAAGCAAGGAGGAGTCATTTCGGATCCTGAATTACATTTTAGCATTCTTTGAGACTGTGTCAGGTCTAAAGATCGATCAATAAAGGTTTGTTCTCTTTAGTCCTCCCTCCTTTTATCATGGTCTTCCCTTGGGTCATAATCCTAGAAACCTTCCGTTTTGGGATCTGGTGATGGATAAGGCGCGTAAAAAGCTTGCATCTTGGAAAGAGTAGTTCTCTTTAGGGTTGTTAAAAAATACGATACCTGAAAAACCTGATCAATCTAACCCAACTCAACCCGTATATTTTGGATTGGGTCATAAACTTATTTGGGTTGGGTTCAAATAAATGAAAATTTTTGAGTAGTTCTCTTTAGGGTTGTTAAAAAATACGATACCTGAAAAACCTGATCAATCTAACCCAACTCAACCCGTATATTTTGGATTGGGTCATAAACTTATTTGGGTTGGGTTCAAATAAATGAAAATTTTTGAGTAGTTCTCTTTAGGGTTGTTAAAAAATACGATACCTGAAAAACCTGATCAATCTAACCCAACTCAACCCGTATATTTTGGATTGGGTCATAAACTTATTTGGGTTGGGTTCAAATAAATGAAAATTTTTGAGTAGTTCTCTTTAGGGTTGTTAAAAAATACGATACCTGAAAAACCTGATCAATCTAACCCAACTCAACCCGTATATTTTGGATTGGGTCATAAACTTATTTGGGTTGGGTTCAAATAAATGAAAATTTTGTGGGTTAGATTGGTTAATGGGTTTCCTAATACTAAGTTGGGTTGAACCGAATCAGCCCGAATTAATTGTTAATTTTTAAACCTAGATTTTTCCTTATGATTCAATTATTTATTTTTTTATTTTTATTTAATTTCATAATTATTTTTTTTATTATTATTCTTTGAACAATTCTTTTTAACCATTTTGGAAGATAACATTTCAAAATATATATTGAAATTGAGTTGCAAATCTTAATTAAATGTTTGAAAATAAATAAATCGATGATTTAGGAACTAACATTTTACTTCTATTTAAAACAAAATTTTGAATAATTGACCCAAGTAACCCGACCAACCCAACCCAAAAAATTTACAAGGTTTGTTTGGGTTGAAAATTTTACAACATGAACAATTTTGTTGGGTCCAAAAAATGTTACAACCCGACTCGACCCAACTCACGAATACCGTAGTTTTCGTCCAAAGGCGAAAGGTTAACACTCATTTGTTCCGTTTTGAGTGGAATTCACATTTACTTTCTTCCCCCTTTAGGGTTTCTTAGACTCTGTAAAAGAATTTTGGGAAGTCGATGATGAATTTTTTGTGCAGGGGATCAATGAGGGGAAAAGTGCCTGTGGTAAAGTGGGAGATGGTGGGAAAGCCAGTGAGCCTAGGGGGCTTATAATTAAGGAATTTAAAAGCCGGAAACGAAGCCCTCTTGGCTAAATGGTTGTAACATTCCCCCCTTGTGTCTATTACTTTGTGGTATAGGATTATAGCTAATAATGACGGCCCTCATCTTATTGAATGGATACGGTGGGGTCAAAGGTACTAATAGAAACCTTTGGAAGAAATTTCTGACGAGCTTCCTTTTTCGCTCACCTGGTGCATTGTTTTGTGGGTGATGGGAAGGAAATGTATTTTTCGGAGGACAAATGGATGAAGGATAGACCCCTCTGTGATATGCTTCCTCATTTAGACCACCCGAGTTCTATAGATTACCAACTCGGTGGCTAGTTTTGTTTGTTCTTGGAGCTCTTACTCTTTATTGCTTGGGTTCTGTGGTTATTTTTCGATAAGGAAATGACAGATGTCACGACTCTATTATCTTTGAGTTTAGATTGTGGAGAATGGACTTACATCTCTAGTGGCTTTTCTTGTAGCTCATTTTTTTTCATCGCATGTAGAACCCTTCTCTGTATAGTGAGTCTATTTTCTCCTCTCTCTATAAAGTAAAAATCCCAAAGAAGGCTAAGTTCTTTATTTGGTAGGCTTTCTATGGAAGAGTTGGTGTCTTGATAGGCTATTGAGGAAGATGCCTTGATAAGACAATTTTGCTATATCCTTTGTCTGAAAGTGGAGGAAGACTTGGATCATCTCCTTCGGAGCTGCGAGTTTACTTAGTCTATTTGGACCTACGTTTTTTGTTGCATTTGGTGTCCAAGTTGCTAGACATAGATTTAGGGAGATGATCAAGGAGTTACTCAATCACCCTCCTTTTTGTGATAAAGGTAGGTTTCTTTGGCAAGTTGGGGTCTTTGTGCCATTTTGGTTCGAGGTATTGAGAGAGGGGTCCTTGTGATGTTTGGTCCCCGCTGGGTTATATGCTTCCCACAAAATATTTTTGTGATTATATATTAGGCATCTTTGTACTTGACTGGAGTCTCTTCCTTTAGTAGGGCCTCCTTTTTGTGGGCTTGTTTTTTGGATGCCCGTGTATTCTTTCATTCATTTTCAATGATAACTTAGTCTTTATAACATATATATATATATATATCGTGGGGTATAGATATATTGTGGGAAACCTCCGTTGAATTTTGTCCATAGTATTAATGCTATTAAGGGTCACAGTTCGTCATAAAAAATCACTATCTTTGGAATAGCACCATCCTTGATCTGGTTACATAAAATCTTAGATAAGGAATAGGATATAATCATTTCTTTCCACTACATTTCAACATCCATACTAAGAAACACACCTACATCTGTCCAACAAAATTAGGCAGGGCAGTACCACCTTACTGGTCCATTAGATTTTCAGTTTGTTCCCAAAACCATGACATGGATGTCATCCGGAGGACAACAAGGAAGATTAAGCTTGGCACCGGAGGCTCTTGCTTTTAGTGATATACTGATATTAAACTTCAGGCTTCTCCAGATACAAATGGTTCTGCTTCTCATAAACCAGGTGAATGGAGATTGCTCATCCTTGTAATCTAAAAATTTTATGTGACAAACTGTTTCGTCCATGGGGTATCTCCATGAAAGCAAAATTTTTCCTCTTTTTGCTCCTTTGCATTAAGGCTGCCACAATACCACTTCATAGGTATGATACAGAAAAAATTAGAATGCAGTGTAAGTTCAAGGAGTTTTTTGCCCACCCAATGCCTTTGAAGTGCATAAGTGGACTCTTTTCCTTCCTCCTCTTTTTCATCCGCTTTTTTTATCAAGTTCGATCGACATATCACATGCTTAACCCCACCTTGAATGACATCAATCAATGGCTTAGAACTAGTGGACCTCTACAGTATGCCAATTCTAGCTCAGAAAAGAAAAGGAATCCTAAGGGTATGGAGAACTTACAAATCTTTCCTCCATTTTCACATCTCATCATCCAGATTTTGCTGACATACACTTCCTCTTTTTAGTTTTTTTGGAATTTTTCACAGTTCAAGAAAAAAGCAGCCGTATGGTCTAAAGATCAAGAACCGCTGTGACTTGTGTGCTTATTGCATGGCTAGATGTTCTTGGAGTAATCTAGACACTCTACTCCTACCAAAAGCATGAGACTCTTCAACAACCTGATCAACAATCTTTCTTAGGGGAAAAAAATACTATATTTACTTAGTCATATTTGAGGGAAAACCCCAACTATACTTGCACCCACCATTTTCTTGTCTCCCCCATTGGCCCTAGAAATCCCAAAATGCTGAAGTCTGTAAGGTGGAAAGAGCTGTCAGACCATGTTTCTATTTCTTAAAGCTTACAACATCGTTTATGGTGGCACTTGTTCAAGGTTTGAAAATATGTGACTTGACCAGAGAGTTCCTTCTGTTGAGCAGTGCTGAAATCTTCTTCCTTCATGTGGTTGACTGGGCAGTGCTTCATGATGTAGTTAAAACCTTAAATTCTGAGAGAATATATGGTTGTGAAGTACTCTAGCGTCTCATTTCTCCAACCTTTCGCCATCACTACTAGCTTATGTTTGAAATAGGAGCTTTGGAATTTGAGAGGAGGAATTCCTAGTTGAGGCTTCTTGACCCTTAGGGTCCCTTACTTGCAGCTCCGTCCTTGAAGATCTTAATTATCCTAAAAAACTCTAAACGTGGATCTTTGAACTATGGTCTGGAAGGATACATTTCCCGAGAGGTGAATGAGAAGTTTTAGTAGAGAACATCAGCACCTAAGACAAGATCCAACTAGATGCATCTTTGAGAGTGTGCAATTTTTGGATTGAGAGAAATCGCTGAATTTGAGTAGGCACAGACTGAAACCTGCTTTCTTTTCTTGATAATATTATTTTTGCTGCTGGCTCTTGGTGTGTAATTAGTAGTAATTCCTTTTGTAACTGTTCAATTTCTGATGATTGAGCCGATCGGAGGGCTTTCGTATAGAACCTCTGTTGGCCGTGGGTCGAGTTGCCTTCTCTCCCATTTTTGTATATGTCATTATATTAATGAACTGTTACCTTTCTTATAATGACGATGATAATAATAATAATATATCTCGGAACAAATCTCTCTCCTTACAATTCCTTCATTATTTTTATTATTATTTTTTTGTTTCTTACTTATTTTGACGATCTTTACTTTATTCATTTTCATATGGTACTTGCCTAAATGATTTATTTACAGGGAATTCTCTTAACAGGCGCCCCGGGAACTGGAAAAACTTTACTTGCTAAGGTAAAACTTCACTCAGTTTTCCTATAAAAGAGATTATGTTCTTTATTAGAATTGCAATCATCTATGCTAGGTTTTCTTCATGGCTTTGTTGGCTTTTATTTTGTTGATCTTCTGTTAAACAATATGTTTACTACTTTGGCCGATAGCTGACTGGTATTTTGTCGTTTGCCCCCATTAGAGCTCCGGTAGTAGTAGATGCATTTTAGATGAAAGTCTAGAAATAATGGTTATTCTTTTTTGTTAGATAAGATATTTCTTTTTGTAAATTTTCATTAGCAGATGCAAAAGTACTCAACCACCTACCAGCAAACCATAAATGGTCAATACAAAACCCAAAAGTCTACATGCTTCCTTAACATCAATCACAAGTGAACTAACTGAGCAAATTTCCTGTTTGTGCTATAATATTCTCCTGCTGTTTAACTCTTCCGAGCCATTTCTTTTTCTTTTTCTTTTTCATCTTCAGTATTCTCACGCTTTGTACACCTTTCTTACCTGCAAAGAAGTTACCCTCTTTGGTGATGCTTACTTCAGACAGAAAGCCATTAGTCTCACTCAATCAGTCCTTGTTGACCCAACCTGGCTGTTTCCATCACAGAAGACAAACCAGTGAAGTAGGGGGTGGGTTTTTTTGGTCGGAACACCAGCTTTTCCAAAGAACTTCCTATGAGAAAAAAATTCGGGTAGAAGCGAGAAAAATCCTTGGGATTAGCACTAAGCCATACCAAAAATTCACTCTGAGTTTGTTATATTCAACATATTTCCAAAAATAATACATCCCAGTTTTTCATAAAGAGAGAAACTCCAACTCTTGATGTCAAACTCAGTGTGAAGTGAACAAGTGGTCCATGGTTTCCTATTCTTTAATCAGTTAAAGCAAACGTGAGGAGAAGTAGAGGGTTCTTTTCCTGCCAAATGGATGGAGTTTTCAGGTTTTTGTGATACAAGGACCGTATGAAGAATTTAGTAGGATTTATTAGGGTTCTTATAAAGCTTTGATAGTCGAAAAAACAGATTGAGGGAAAAAGCTCCTTAAGCTGTCCAACTATAGCTAAAAGCATCTGCGTCCACTTTATTGTAAAATGTCATTGAGTTGTGAAATATAAAAGGGGAGAAGCAGGCGTACGACCCTGATACGGTCAGGTTTTTATTAGTAGTCTCGGTTTCGAATTTCAAAAGTGACAGTAGTCTTAATAAATAAGAAAAGAAGAGCTAAGATTCCGGAAAGAAAGATTTATGGGAACTCTTGACTTATCCAAATCGAAGTGCAGTAACTGGTTACAAAAAGGCCCTCCTCTTTTTTTCTATAAGGTCAGTTTGGTTATACATTGTGTTAAAAACAAAAAAAACATTTGTGGCCACCTAAGCGCCAAATCCTCGATATTAATTAGTTTAAAATTTTTTGGTTTTATGTTCTTGTGATGCTCAAACTCTTCAGTAGCGTCTTTGTGTTTTCAATCTTTACTTAAACCGGATTCTAGGTTCTACGCGGAGTAGGTACTAAGAAAATGACTGCAAATCTATTAATGCCTGGAGATTTACTTGTCATGTATAATTCCAAACCTACTGATATAGTTAAAATTTTGTCATTTCTTTGGTAGTTTCATAATATCACGTTTTCAATATTATCTCAGAGTTCTTTTTCTGGAAGACATGATTTATTTAATTGTTCAGTCTGAAATGTAATTATTTTTCTGTTGTCCTCAAGGCCATTGCTGGTGAAGCTGGAGTACCATTTTTCTATAAAGCAGGATCCGAGTTTGAAGAAATGTAAGCCTCATTTTTGTGCATTTTCGTGATCTTCGATTAGGATGCGTCCATTTTTCCTCGCCTGAGATATGAATGTATATGTTAATGTTTAACAACAAATTAATGGCAAGGTTTAGAATATTATTCTTGCAAAGTTAACTTTAAAAAAACATTTAAAAGCTTAATTATCAAAATCAATTGAGTAAAGAATTTCATACACCAAAATATAACGATGTTTGCGACTCAGTCGATGATTTATTTGTACGAATGTCAATAGGTTAGGAAAATAATAAGAATTATTTGCTATATTTCCTTCTATATGTAGATTTGAATTTTGCATGAAGGGCTTTGGTGTTTATGATGTTTCATTCTCACGTCTTTAATGTAGTGTAGAGACTACCAGCTTTCGGATTGTGGGACTTTCCGAGTATTACTTTAGCATTAGTGATTCCGACTCGCATTGTACTTTCAATTGGCAGGTTTGTTGGTGTCGGTGCTCGGCGTGTAAGATCATTATTTCAAACAGCCAAGAAAAAGGTTTGTTTCCCTTCATCAAATTTCAATAACTTTATTCAAGTTCAGATAACTCGACTAAAATAATGTTGCATTCAGGTAACTTTAGTTGTGGAAAAAAATGTCTAACCTATTGACAAATTTAGAGCGTGAAAGCATCCAAGTTCTATTATAATATTGATCTTTTCTCCATCCTCCACAGGCTCCTTGCATCATTTTTATCGACGAAATCGATGCTGTTGGGTCCACTCGAAAACAGTGGGAAGGCCACACGAAGAAGACATTGCATCAACTGCTTGTTGAAATGGATGGCTTTGAGCAGAATGAGGTACATCAGAACAATTTTGTTGCATGTTGTGAGATAGGTTACTTATTCATTAAGATGTACAATTTATTGTTTTTTCCTTTGCAGGGCATCATATTGATGGCTGCTACAAACTTACCAGATATTCTTGATCCAGCTTTGACAAGGCCCGGTAGATTTGACAGGCATGTAAGTTCCTTTGAAGCTCTGTTTGTTTTTTCTTTTTCTTTTCTGTTGTTATGAATGGAAATATGGAGCGTTTATTAGTCCGAGTCTAAGCCTTCTCTCGTTTAGAGACAGTCGATTCGATTAAGGTTTCTATTTTGGAAAAATTCTAGCGCTTTTTCGATGTTCGTGGAATCATTTTGTTCACTGATAGCAGGATCCGAATGTGCGATATCCAGTTCTTAAGCCAATATACTTAAAAACTAACAACATTCATTTGTAGATCGTTGTCCCAAACCCTGATGTACGGGGTCGCCAAGAGATTCTAGAGCTCTACTTACAAGACAAACCATTGGATGAAGATATAGATGTGAAAGCAATTGCTCGGGGCACGCCGGGATTTAACGGGGCAGGTAAGTCTTCAGATACTTTAACTATATCACTACTTTCAAAATAAAATGAGGAAAATCTTATGATTTTAGATCTTTATCTTGCTGAATTTTATTAACAACCAACATTTGTTTTCTTGTCAGATCTTGCAAATTTGGTTAACATTGCAGCCATTAAAGCTGCTGTTGAAGGTGCAGAGAAGTTGAACTCTTCACAGTTGGAGTTCGCAAAAGATAGAATAGTTATGGGTACTGAGAGAAAAACAATGTTTTTATCAGAGGAGTCGAAGAAGGTATATAAATGTCCGAGGAATCATTAATGCTTTTAGTTATTTCAATTAAAGCCTATTTGAATGATATTTCGAAGTTCCAAAATATTGTATGGATGCTTGCTGATGTATCTCTTTCATTGTAGCTCACTGCCTATCATGAGAGTGGTCATGCGATCGTTGCATTTAACACCGAGGGTGCGCTCCCGATTCATAAGGCCACAATCATGCCTCGTGGGTCTGCTCTAGGAATGGTCACACAACTTCCTTCAAGCGACGAGACATCTATTAGCAAGAAGCAACTATTAGCACGACTCGACGTTTGTATGGGAGGAAGAGTTGCAGAGGAACTCATATTTGGGCAGGACAATGTCACCACTGGAGCAAGCAGTGATCTTCACACAGCTACAGAGCTTGCCCAATATATGGTACTTCACTAGACTCTTCCAAATGTTTTATGGACATTGCTTTCTCATTCTCCATGATGTTCTTGAAGGTATCGAATTGTGGGATGAGCGATTCAATTGGACCGGTTCATATCAAAGAACGTCCAAGTTCGGAAATGCAATCCCGAATCGATGCAGAAGTATGTTTTTTAGTACCTCCAGCCATTTGATTGATTTGGCCAAGCTAAGCTAATTCCTGCCAAATGTTTAAAGTATGTAATCTGTTGTGCAGGTGGTTAAACTCCTAAGAGATGCATACGATCGCGTGAAAGCCCTCTTAAAAAAGGTTCGTTTTACATTTCGACTTCGACTCCGACTACACTCTGTTTCTTGTTTCCTGGAGATTGAAACAAGTTTTAGGAAACTAAATCAGAGAACAACAATCTCACATCAGCATTTCAAGTTCTGTTCTAACGTTTGCGATGTTTATTTCAGCATGAAAAGGCATTACATGCACTGTCAAGTGCTCTGTTAGAATATGAGACACTCAATGCTGAAGAAATAAAGAGGATTCTACTTCCTTATCGAGAAGGTGGACAGCTGCCAGATCAACAGGTAGAAGTAGAAGAACAAGGGGATCTTGTGTTGGCTTGAGTTCTCTGACGTTTGCATCGGTCTCCATTGTCATCTCTGTAAAGTACCTGAAACAACCGTGAAAGAAAAATATTTATTCTGATACATAATGGTGGGGTTATAGGCAGTAATTGTAGGATCCTAGCATCTTCTTTAGGCATATTATTGTGTATTATACCACTTTCCACAAGTGGGGTGAATTTTTGGCACACAGCAATCAGTCCCTTAACATTTTTTCTTTTTCACGCAAGTTATTTATAATTGTGACAATGGAAGAACGCATTTGTAATCTGTGACATTTTTTTTTCTTTCTGATGACGTTACGTGTAATTTCTTTATGTTTAATGTTACTGTTGGTGAATAAAAACTATTCTTCAAAGATAAATATTTAACCATAAGATCTCTAATAAAACAAGGCTATTCTAAACTTATATGTAGATAGATGGATTATTAACACTAAGATGAGTGTTCAAAATATAGCTTGGTTGATTCTTTTTTGGATTTTCCACTTATGGGCGTCTAAACGCATTTCTTTATTCATTTGTTCACGTGTGTCATGAATCTGATAATGATGACATGTTCTTAGATTCAGCCCCTAGTTTACTGTCAAGCGGGTAAGCCAGCTAGAGAGAGAGAGAGATGCACTCACAGTTTGCAGGTTTGAAGCTGAGCGTCAAAGCATCTCCATTCCCAGTTGTAATTTGAAAATGGGCTGTGATGACAGCATATTGTAGATTCAGCCCCCCAGAAACCCGACAGTCCTTGAGTGATGTAGAATCCATAGTGCTGCTTCTGCATGAATTGGTTCAAGTGAGCTGAATTTGGTTAGTATAGAAAGAGAGAAAGAGAGAAAATGATGCACCTTGGACCCATTTAAATATCGACTCAGACACGACCTTATCAGTCCAACCTGATATTTTGCATGAATCCCAGCAGCAATGTGTCATTCTCACCAGATACTTGAATGGATCCAATATAGTTTCCACAACCTTTTCTAATCTATTTACATCAGCACTTTAAAAACCGTAGATATTTGCATTACCATCAACATTTATATGTGCACACAAGTTTCTGACACTGATGACGGCCATAATAGAATATCAGTATGTACAGTACAAGTAAATCACAAATGCAACAAAACTGACATTATGAAGATAGGGACATTGACAGATATGGTAATTAAAAGAGTCAGTAATGCAAGTGTCAGGTCAGATGGAGCTTTTTGAAGTCAAAAGATCAGATACTCTGTGATGCAGACGGCTGAGAAACAGAACACCACCAAGGAATAGCATTACATTACCTCAACTAAACATGGCATTTTGACAGACAATGACTAACTGTAGTTTTGTAAAATTGAAACAGAGCGGAAGCCATATACAGAAACCATTCATTGTTATCAGTCATCAAAGATATATACATCAATAAGCATACATAACCATGGACAAAACCCTGGAAATTAGATGAAGGAATCTAGGCTCCCCCCCCCCCCCCCCCCCCC